TTTGTCCAAAAACACCCACAAGGACATACGTTTCAACAGTACATCATTGCTAGATACCGGAGATGAACGGTGATGAATACAAAAATACATACATGTTATAGATAACAATAATTTGTTTGTTTGTTTGTTTGATTTTACGCCTTTTCCCAGCAGTATTTCAGTCATATAGGCGGGTAATTTCGTAACCATCGTTCTGGAGAGTTACGCCAGTACAAGACTACCTCCTCTGCGCTTAACTACCAAAGCATTGCCCGGGGATCGAACCCACGCCAGAGAGGTAACTGGATTAGAAGTCATCGACTCTAACCCCTCGACCACGGAGGCGGTACTGAGATAACAATAAAAGGAGGAAAGAAGTGCAACTACTGGCCATAGCGATGGATTTTGTCTCGGGAAGATGTGTCTTCTGTGGAAAATATGGAAAAAAAGATTAACAAGGAAGGGCGGCGTTTAATGAACGCAACCCTATACGACTGGAGGGTTCTAAAAGGTCCAGAATGATAAAGGCACACACAGAAATTTGTTGTGTACGATTCCCATGCTCTAAACATGAATTTTATGTTATTTGTATATTTGATGGAAGCTCAAGGTGGCATATCTTTAATAACCTCATAACCTTAGATCCCCTTTCAAAGTTCCATTTTATTTAGTTCCGCCCATTGTTTTCACGTTTAGGGCACACGCATTCTTTTACTTGGGGACCATACGCCGCTCTTTTAGAAGTAAATATTTCAAAATATCTAGCTTAAAAATTGTTAATTGTTATATTCTCGTATCTGTATAGCTCCAGATAAGTTTAAAACAATAAAGAATTCTCTTCTGTATCAGGTGTGCGGTGTAAAACTTCAAATTTGAAAATCACCGAGTAAATAGTAATAAGGAGTTCGAAACTCTGATAGCTCAACGACTCAAACGGAGAGTTGTTAAATAAACAAAATGTTTTAGTTGTTTAGTTGATTAAACTGTTTTTGAAATTAGAGAAACATGGATTCCTTAAAGAACGCTTAAAATGACAAATTTCAATATGCTGCATGCTTGGTTTGATTGCGCCTGTCCATGGACGGAATAATGGAAAGTGCAACATACCGTCTACGGACCCTAGCAACAGCCTTAGATAAACACGGAAATGGTGAAATTTGGAACTTAGAAACTTCCGCCGATGAAAATCAGAGACAAATCTGACAATTGAAGTTAAATTTTCTATACTTACATTTCAGCACACACTGGTTGTTCGGGGCATTGCCTTGACCTAAGTCACTCACAAATATGCTTTAAAATAATAAGAAGACATTCCTTGTCTTAAGTGATTGAAAAACCTTGTCGTTGCATGATATAGGGAGTATGTAATTATTCTATACTATGCAAATAATAAATAATTAATCACGTCTAAGAAAAACTTACATATAACTACAACCTTAAGCTCCTTCCTACACGGTTTGTTTTGAAGAAAATTAAACTTTTTTTCAGTTATTAAAAACAATAGATCCGATAAACGAATGTTGCCATTTCTAACATTAATTTGAATAATTTATAAACGTTTACAAGATAGAATTCTGGGATTGTAATTACAGGTAATGTTGTTGTTTCAAGCTCAATCAAACCGAGCCTGCAATATTGTCAATTTGGCCGTGTTAAGCTATCTTTAGGTGTTTTGTTTTTTCTATTTTCCCTGTTTTTGTCACATCAGTGTTATTGTGTCGCCCTGAAAATTGTTACTAGGTGTTACTTCATAGGATGATAGATCTCAAAAAGAAAAAGTGCAGTGCATAAGAACCGGTACTCTGCTTTTCTTATTTTTTGAGTTATTGCCCTTTGTTAGTTTTTATATTTTATTTTTGTCCGTGCCATTTCTCATAAATTATAAAAGCTGTTGACTTAAAACTTCACAGGATGATAGATCTCATTCAGAAGAAGTGCAATGTTTAAGAATTGGTACTCTGCACTTCTTATTTTTTTTAGTTATTGCCCTTTGTTAATTTTCATTCTTTATTTTTGTCTTGGGCATTTCTCCTTAAATAAAAGCTATTGACTTCAAACTTCATAAGATCATAGATCTTATTAAGAAAAAATGCAGTGCACAAGAATGGGTACTCAGCACTTCTTTTTTTAGAGTTATTGCCCTTTGTTTATTTTCATACTTTATTATTGTCCGGGCCATTTTTCTTCAACGATAAAAGCTTTTTACTTGAAACTTCATAGGATGATAGATCTCATTAAGAAGAAGTGCAGTGCACAAGAATTAGTATTCTGCATTTCTTATTTTTTAAGTTATTGCCCTTTGTTAATTTTCATACTTTATTTTTGTCTGGGCCATTTCTCTTAAACTATAAAAGCTTTGGACATAAAACTTTATAGGATGATCGATACTGTCACAAGGCAACACATTCGACTCGCGGAGTTCTAGTTTGTGTGTGTGGCGGCTCTAAAAAGTTTTCCCGTTATTTAATCAAAGATGTTATATTTTCGATCCTTGAAGATCGTTCAGTTCGACATTATTGTTGTGTATACATGTTATGTGGTATTTTAAGTTTCATCTTTTAGGCCTTTTTCAATTTGGGTGGTTCCAGTATTCCTACTTGAATATTGTATAATCATCCTTAGGATGTCTCTTATATGCAGGCTTCGTAACCTCAGACCCCTTTCAAATTCCATTTTATTTAGTTCCGCCCATTGTTTTCTCGTTTAGGGCACACGTATTCTTTTGTTGAGGACCATACGCCGCTATTCATGGAATGGCCCAACTTTCTCACATTGAAGATTCCATGATAACCGCTTAAAGTTTAAACTCATCTATGGATGATTCTAAATTCAAAGTTTCACCATTTTGGTGTTTAAATGTTGAATTCTGCTTAAGCCGGTTCGTGGACGGTAACTTGTTCTTTCCAGTACCGTCCATGAATAGGGTCAATCAAACCGAGTCTGCAACATTTTCAATTTTGCCGTGTTTGGCTTTCTTTAAGGACTCTGTTTTTCTCTATTTTGTAGTGTTGTAACTTTAAATCCTATAGGTCCTGTTTTTATATTTAAACTTGTATACTGTTATGATTTATATTAACAAAAATATAATATTCACCTTGTTAATCAGTTTCAGTTTCTTATATTTACTATAAGAAATTGGTTTATGTACTAACCGTTATGCTCGTTTCGAAACGTTTCATTTTTAATGTTCAATCCCTCGTTCAGGATATCCACGTTGATGTTTGAAAGAAAGAGTAAATAAAGGTCCACTGACATGTCGACATTGTAATAGAAATGACTTGATTTTTGTTTCTCTAATTTTCAAACGTCACACGTCACACACACATATATAACGTAGTTGTATCTATCATTAAACAAATTGAGAAGACAAAAGTCCGTCTTTAACATGTAAGAGGTTTGAAACTGTTTGTTAATATCCTTTGGATTATATTAAATTGTTTATCAAAATTAATTGTTAAATATTTATAAAATTTGTTCTTTTTGCCCCACGCAGGATAACGTGCATGTACGAAAATGCTACTTTCGTTTGTAAGAAATAACGTTATGTTTTTAAAAGGTCTATAATTTTTAATAAAGAATCAATTTATATTGCAATATCTTAATGTAAAACATAAACGATTTGAGATTAAAATGAAGAAAAAATTATTTTGTTATTTGAAATAAGGTGATTCCTACAATTCTGTTTTTCTCTGATGCGATTTTAGGTCGCCATCAAATTGGACCAAATGTTCAATATAACTGATGCAAAGAGCTTATGTCTCTTCCAATTGCATTTTATCGTTTAAATTGCTCTGTCAAATTACTTTGGGAAATGAATGTATTACAGTTTCAGACATGTAGTAACATATCAGCCTGCGTAAACTATAACATTATAATATATGTAAACTTTATAGTGCATATTCAATGCTACTGATTCACAAACTGTGTATAAAATAATGCAACAGTTTGAAATTGTACCAAAATAAAAATGCAATAATATTTCTAGGAGTACGGCATGTTGTCATAGTTTAGTTTGATGTAAATGATCGCTTACTATACAAACATGCGTTTAATTTTACCTTTTGATGATATATTGTATTTTGTATTTTCAGAATAGCTTAAAACCCAGTCCAGGTGGTCCAGTGTTGCTGGGTCGTGTAGGAGTTGCGTTCATTGAACGCCGCCCTTCCTTGATTATCTTGTTTTAATATTTTTTTAGAGTGGCTTTATTCTATTTTACTCTCTCCACAAGTGATGGTATACACTAGATTTGAACACCAATATAAATCCAACTAATGGTAAGTCAATCTCTGCTGATGTAGTTATTCCCAAAACAATTACTAAGCGTAAATAATTAGTACCTCCAAATTTTTATTTCGGTTGTGCCAGACATTTTCTGTCTCTTCTGTCATTTTGACAAATACATATGTCTACGCAACATAATATACTCCCTGAAGCGTCATCTTCTCCCTTTCCTTTGTTTATAGACTACTGCAGATTGTTTTTCTAATTGTTTTCCTTATGGATTTACATGGCAATGTAGTGATATACTATTTTCGTAAAATTGGGGAATGTCTGGGTCATGTTTCATATTCTTTGTTTTGCAATGCTTAAATGATAACTGACATTGTATATTATTAGTTATAAAGATTGTTGACAGGTTCTATGGCCTAATAACCTGCCAAGAAGCTTTATAACGAATTTATAATTCAGCATACATCCTGCTTTAAAGAAAAAAGAAGAGATTTGTTCAAAAATTGACATCGGCCATGTGAATAAAGCTATCTAAACGTCACGATTATCCAATGAAATGGCGTTACAAACGTGCCGTTTTATAATACTTCTAATATGGATTTGTGTTTAAAAATTATTACACAAATGTTTTCAATGTTCTTTTTAAAGAAATGTATTCTCAATTTCCAATGTTGAACTACAAATATTATGTCAATCTGTAAAATATCTAAACTTCATATTCCATGATTCCTATCTGACAATATATTCACAATTTAACATATCCATGTTATGAATAAATACAACTAATAAATAAAACTTTAAATACTTTATTTTTATCTGACTGTGAGATAAAGATTATTGAGTTGAAATGTTCATATAATCAGAAATAATACTCAGATATCAATGTAAATCTATATGACTGTATAAAATGTGTAAAATCTTTATTTTGGCTAGAGATAAGCTCGTACAAAATCTTTGTCGTTGTCACCCTGTAAAATATATATCGTTCGTCCGATATTGCACTAAAAAGTAAATTTCTAAATGATTAAAATTCATAAGTGTATCAAATATCTGTCCAGTTATACAAATATTTTGATAGACATTTCACATCAAATCACAAAATAGGACCTAATTCAGTAAAACATTATTGCTGCAGTGATTGTTTTGGTTATTGATATTTTAATATCGATTGCTTTTAACCGTGCATTAACATGAAGATGCAAAACTTTGAGAAATCCGTTACTTCTTTTATATTTTACTTACAGATTCGGGATGTTTTCCAATAGATACTTGTATAGGATCTGCAGTCTACGACAGGTTTTGTTACTGTTTTTTAATGGATTGCAACAGATTTCTTCAAACAAATTCTAAAAACATCACGAAAACATAAAAATTATCACTATTTGACCAATATACAAATTATAAATTATCTCTTTTACATTTCTCATGAAATATATACACATTTCAGAGTTTTCAGTAATGACACAAGACAAAAGAATAATACAACAGTCTAATTAACACAACATGAGACATTTGACAAAAATATATTGGGTATAGCTTAGTAACAAGTCAATTAACATTTATAAAACATATTGACGCAGGCTATTTCGAAAAAAATACATACTATTAGGTATTTACATGGTAGAAATGCTTCAAGGATTGCCATTAGTCATATAATTATATTGCATTATTTTTTTTAAATATAAGTTCAAGTAATTTTGAACTTAAACATCGTCAATTATCATATAATGTCCATGTGAAATGCGTCTAAAAGCTGAGTCGGGGTTTGGTCTAAAATCACGTAGTCGGAAAAAAATGCCGAGTCAAAATGTATCATACACAAATTACAAGATATAAAAAGAGTAATAGTCTGATGATGTTTGTCACCATATCTTTTGACAACATTAAGCAACTTTCATATGTTTTGGCTTTTTAAAAGTGGGTATCTTAAAGAGTTATCTCAAATTATGATACGAACGACCAACACGAGTGGTTCCAAGGTAGGTTTCGATTGACCATAGCATCATTTACACCTTTCAAATATCTATATTTAATTAACATGTTTATTTGCGAATTATAGATGTACTTAGTTCACATTGAAGCAAATAGCAACATCTTCGGAATGTTATGGAAAATTGTCGTCTGTTCTTTCCTTTATTGCATTTCTTGTCAAATAAGCCGGCTTATAACACACTTGCAAATCCGTATATCTAAAGATACTTATGTCTAACTGGTGTGCCATCATGTACTATTATACACTCTTAAATAAGTATTGTAACGGTGACACAAAACTTCTGAATCTATTTTTATCTTTACAATAAAACATGGCACACTATACAGAATTGTTCCACTTTACTTTATGATCCAAGAGCGTGTAATCTATTTTTTCTGCATTAAACTTTAGTTGGTCTTGGGTGTCTGAAATCAGTCATATCTTGATACTCGAGTAGAAAAAATCCAAAGCTTATATAGTCGATGAGGGACGCAACTATTGCAAGGATTAAGGCCCAGCCGATTTCATAATAACCAGATATAATTATCCCTTTAAGAAAATATTTGAACCTTTCATCATCGTCTTCTTTCAACTCGAGCAGATAGTCCCGTCCCTTCATTCCCATTACTATAACAGCCATTGCTATCATACAAGCTGAAAGAAAACAAACGAAGTATGTAATAACATCTCTTGCTTGCATTAAAATGAACAGTTTTTAACACTCGGGGTTACCTAAGAACTAAACTGTGTTTGTGCACCGTAAAGCCATACAAAAATATTACAATGTATTTTAAATCTTATCTCATGCCGACAAAATTCGTGAAAGTAAAGTTATATTAGATGTATCTGTTCATCAGACGCCTTCTTGATCAAATACGGACTTTTAATCACTTCAGATAATTTCGATAATTCGATGAGCAGAAAACATTGTGTTTTTATGGTCGACTTGTATCATTTATCACGGAAGTTACAGTCATACTCGCGTGTCACAAAATAAACGTGTTTCGTATCATTGATACTGATAATACTAATGTTCAAAGTTTAATTAGCACTCTGCTGATTTTGAAGCCAATCAGTCATCATGAACATCTAAGGTTCTAGTGTTTCATGTCAGAATCGCACAGCATATAAAGATTTATCTGAAATTGTGATTTGATTCAATGTCAGAGATTATTGGTAACGAAGGAATTTTGTACCGTCCGAGGATCTAACCAGCAAACTCTGGATTAGAAATCAGATGCTCTCCCTGCTGAGCTAAGGGGACGAACGTTATATATCATATAATGGCTGATTAAATAGCATTATTAAGTGTTGAGAATTGAGTACCGCTCAAGCCGGTGCTAGGGGGGCGTGAGGGATGTTGCACGTATTCATTATCCCTCATTTACAGACTCAATCAAACCGAGTCTGCAGTTCTCTTGTAATTTTGTTGTGATAAATGCTTCCGAGGGATCACTTTGTTTCCAGATTTTTTTACAAGGTGACATTTCCCCGTGTTTATTATTATGAAATTACATTTGCATAACCATACTTGGGTATATCAAAAGTTTGAAACCATTGTTACAACATTATGTACATGGTCATGCTATAAATAATGACGTAATAAAGATATTGATAGATGAAAGAATCCTAGCATAGGAGAATTTAAGAGAAATTTCACACAAACTGTTAGATGGCGTGTAAATGACTTCTGTCACGCGACAATAAAGGCAGATTGAATTTGAACGTTTCCTCATTTTGGTTTATTATCCTTTGTATTCATAAAATATTTCATTATTCCTCAATTGCTGGTCAATAAAGACTGTTTAATAACGGCGTTTTTATAATTATTACAAAACAAATGAATCTTGAAAAAGAAGGGGAATAGTTTTTCTTCATCTTTTTTCGATTTGCGTTATTTGGTTGTCTGATCAAAGCTTTTTGATATTTTCTGCTTAAATAAAATGAAATTATACTAACAGTCGTATAATTTAAATACACACAGCTGCAAACGTTCATGGGAAAAATCATGTAAGCTTTCCGTTGATTTGACGGGTCAATTTTTCCTACGACCTTTCTTTTTACAACAAAAAGAAATGTGTCATACAAAGTCTATATGAGTGCCAATTAATAGGAGAACTTTCTTTACTACCTAATAAAATATTGTGGAATATACTTCTTATTTGTCAAATCGGCCATTTCTTTAAAGAAAACATCAAGTAATGTGTTGACATAGGCTAACTAGTACTGGCGTTGCAATTCGTACATTATTTGTCTGGACGCCAAAGTGATTGTATTACACCCATTGTGGGTGACAGAACGACATATTCACCTTAGACAAGTGATGTGGATGAAATCTTTTCAAGGTAAAAGTCTTGTTCTATCACACTCTTTGAACGTGAATTTAATTTCATTATACCGAACAAATCAACACTCAAGATCTCAAACATAATAACTTATAACTATTAAAGGACGGTTTGATAATATTACCCTGTGTCATTTCGGATAGATTTTCTCTGACGTTAAATAAGGTTATGAAGAAAAGAAAACACGTGAGATATATGTAATAATTTTCATTACTACTCGGTGTTTTGTGGAATGTGACAAAAATGCAACAATCAGTTTTTATTGACAGTCACAAAAATAAAATTAAGTTTAAATTTATATAAAAAAAATCTAAATTTTGCCAACCGACGCGAGTCAACATTTTGACGTTTTATGTCGACAAAACGCGTTATTATTTTCAATTTACAATCATTCGACAACAAGCACGTAGCATGATTTTCTTTTAGTCGTTGACGGTTTATTAAATGTCATTCATTCAATTATTGACGTCAAACATTAAGTTTTCTCACACTACATGCGATTACTTAACCGGTTGCAAATAAAAAATAAAGAAAAATAACGGAACTTGACCGTTATGAAAAACATAACATCACAAATCTATGCATGTCTCTTTAAATCTCATTAAATGACATAATAAAAGCTGTACGTTTTACAAAAGTCACGGGCGATCTCCGAACTACATGTTTTTTTTTATATCGACATTTTGGCCTCATAGAAAGAGAAAGACGGCGAAAGTGTATAAATATCTGAATGAAAAGATAACAGTAAACGTTATGCACACAGACTATTCACAGCTATGTTTGGGATGTTGACAGATCCGGGCACGCTGGGTGTCCGAGTACTTGATCAAGCACGAAACGAATGATCTTATAATCACGTAATGTACGTTTTACAAAAGTCACGGGCGATCTCCGAACTACATGTTTTTTTATATCGACATTTTGGCCTCATAGAAAGAGAAAGACGGCGAAAGTGTATAAATATCTGAATGAAAAGATAGCAGTAAACGTTATGCACACAGACTATTCACAGCTATGTTTGGGATGTTGACAGATCCGGGCACGCTGGGTGCCCGAGTACTTGATCAAGCACGAAACGAATGATCTTATAATCACGTAATGACTTGACGCGCTACTGTCGGTCACACATGTCACAAAATGTATAAAATCTACATGTATAGGTAAATACTGTTTTCTTTTTATTTCAAAATTTAGAAATATATATCAGTCATCTATTCGTAATACAAAGTCTCATTTATTAAAACAATTCTACATTTATGAATAAATATTTCTGTCTGCTAAAGGAAATATTAAAATCCGATCGTTATACGCTCAAAAAAACTTGAAAGTTGTTTTTACATAAGTATAAATCTAGATTTAAAATGACTCCACTGAGGTCTTTTTGACATGAAGGGTAAAAAGATTTAAGATATTTATATAACTAGATATAGGTATGGACCAATAACTTCTTTACAAAATTTCAGATCATTCCCCAGGAATAATCAATTTTATTGCGCAAATTGACCCCAAAATGAAAAACAGTGCAAACATATGCACCTAAAGAGTAAGAAAAAAAGAAATTGACACTTGTCCTTATATATTCAAGTGTTTTGTCTTCAGCCATCTAATATGCAATGACACTCGTGTTATTTACTTAACATCTTTGAACTTTCCAATTTGAACTGATTAAACTGAATCAAAAAGCTTACCGGATGTAAATGTCAGCAATGATAAAACGATGAGCGCCAATTTTGATCTGTGTAGACATCTTAGAACAAAGGCAGCAATTAGTATTATACTGCATACAATACAACATAACAGGGAAATTATGCAAAAAACCTGCGCTGATCGAACAAAATCTGAAAAAGAGGTTGATTTAAAATATATCAAGTAATAGAACCTTCAATATTACGACAGACGTTTTTATTTGAGGATCAAAAGGGCTATTTAATTTTAAAAATATCTAAAGCTATTTTACTTCAAATTTCACATTCATTTTTTCTTTCTAATTTTTATTCCCATTCTATATTAAAAAAACACCGAAATATATTTCATATTATTATAGTACATAAACTAAATTCTTCCATGATTCGTTCGTAGGATGTAAGAATAGAATTGTTACCCGGTATTTCATGCCATGAGTTACAGAACCAAGATTTATCAACATGGTGTCTGTAACAAACTTTCCACAATGATATAGTTACTCCTCCATCCAGCCCTTGCCAAGATGTGCTTGATATTGATACAAGAAATAGAACTATTCCGAGAGCAAACGTTGTTACTGCAATAACCAAGAAAAACGAATCCGCCATTATCTTACGCTACTTCCGGTTCCGGTATTGTCTGTAAAGTGATGTCGTTGGCATCTTTTGGCTGAAAATGAAATCGGATGATTTGAACATAGACGCCGTTATATCAATTTAAACATTTAAAATGATTATTTATTCTCAGCCGTATCTAATAAAGTATTGATTTAATTCTATTAGACGCTAACGCTCTAATGTCATCAACATTTCAACAAATGCCATCAATCCTGTTAGATTCTACTCTCACTGCATTGTTTAACGCTTGTTTGATCAAGAAAGTAATATCGGCGTATATTCATCACATAAATTCTGTAGTGAAATTTCATTTTGCGCTGTAGACCCATTCATAATCCTGTGACAGCGGAAATGGTTTCTATCTCGCTGCGGGTGTTCCGATTCATTCTTTTTTCTCTCCCGGAATAAGCCGAGAGTTTTAAATATGGACAAATCAATAAGTAGCTGTGTCATTATCTCTCAAAGAAAACAGTTTTTGATTATAAGACTATTTATGGGATAAAATTTTTACTTTTAGGACCGTAATTTAGCGTAACACTTAATAGTCGCTCGAATTGCATATTACGATTTACATATATATTTTCATATTTGATCATTTCGAAATATAAAATCTTTAATACTAGCTATGCCAGTGAAATAAAAAAAACGAAAGAGATCATTTATTTTGATCAGTTAATACTTTCGGGATTAGTTATTGAAAATCAAATAGATATGAGTTAGAGGTGGGCTACTACTTTGCAATATAACATACTCTTTATCAGATTATTTTAAAAAGAATATCATTCTTGTAGCATTACAGCTATAAAAAGGAAAATGTATAATATGTTGCAGTTTTTAATTATTGCAAGGATATCAAAGCAATAACGTTAAAAGTTAGATGAATGGTGGACCTGGTACAAGTTTAGATATCTGTAAAGATCTAACTTGTTCTACTATAAACTTTTATTGTATGTATCCGGTTAGAAATCAAACAATAAATACTGAATAAATTACTAAGTGCTTGTTCAAAGACTAAACAATAATGTGTCATAAAAATATCACAATTTTAAAATATTCATTGCGGTATTAACCACCCTGATGTTTTTCTGTTGAATTATTTCGTTCTAAACTAAACAAGCAATGAATATCAAACAATGCATTGTCAACATTTAAGCTGATAGAATGAAAATAACAAATTATGTATTTCTAGCATCAAATGGCATTAGAATTACAAATGACTAAATGATATGTATTTATGAGACTTAAGCGGACAGGTTATTTATTTTATTCAAATTAAGGAAACGAAAACATTTATTTCTTCCAGAGACATTTTAGGCGGAAATCCAATAAAGACAAAAGAAGCTTACGTTGACATTACTTTGATTGATTTATTTACTTTGGAGAAATGCTGTTCTAATTCATGAAGGTGCTTTAAGTGCATGGGTTACATATTGTTTTTAGAGTGAATCAGCTGTAATATGTTTTCGTCTCTTAGACTAATTTTTTATATCTTTATGCGATATATTTAATGTATAATTCAGTGAGTGTACAAAAACTTCAATATTACAGACATAGCTCCGATGCAGATATTGCCTCAATATTTTACTCGATTTGTGTAATTAACAAACATTTATCAAATTAAAGAGAGTAAATACGAGAACAATAACATAAAAGATGAATATGTGAACATTATCTGAATGAAAATGTGTGAAATTCATATATGAAAATACTGTATGAAAAGTATACATGAAATGATATGAAGGATACAAAAAACACTGAAAAATAATAGCAAAATATATCTGGAGATCAAACTTCAATAATATGTAAACTTTGCTACTCTCATATCTATTATTACAACATTTGGATGCTTCGCTAGATTAGATCTCTCGGGAATAGGCTCTTAAATATTAACTAGACAATCCATGTCCAAAAACAATTAAGAAATCTGAGTTGTTGCACGCTGAAGAGTTTGTGTAATTATTTTAGACAATTAATGAATAATTAATAGCTAGTAAGGAAATTGTATATACCGCAGGCAAAATTAGAGTTCTTCGTTAATGGTGCATTTCTTGAATAGACAATTATATGTAATTTAGGCGTTTTAGAGTTGTTAACAGATATGTGCTGTTATGTAAAAGATAAGAAAACCAGACTTGTAATCTCAAAAAGGCAATGATGACTGCTGTGTCAGCGTTATCAAACGAAATAATTTTTAGATCAGATTGATTTCTCAATAAGTACGCCATATTTTTGCTTTAATACTTAATTTATTTGTAATGCCGTGGTAAAAGCTTCACTACCTTAATTAAGGTCACGTGAGGTTTTGTCAGCTTTTAATAGGACTAGCCTAAGGTTTGTCTTATATCTCTTTTTTACGAGCGTCACGTATGTCAACTGAGGACTGTAATAGTTACCCATGTTTCTGAAAACCGAATAACAGAAATATGTGACCAATCTAAAATTTGTAAGCTGATGACTGTGCTTTTTGTAAACCTTTTAACTGGGGAACCAACTTAACAAAAATATCTGACTAAATTCTGGTCATTTAATGTTAAATCATAGTGTCTAACACTGTATTAATATATGAACCTGAAAACGTGACCCTTAACATGTAAACCTAACCCGTGGGTTAAAGGTCATCAAGTTAGAATTTTATCTACTGAGAAAAGAATCTATAGATTTACAGTAGCATTACATGCTGCATTTAGACATTACAAGTACAAGTAAATATTCTTTATAAATAGTTCAACGAATCTTTTATATGAAGTATCTGTTTCCGTTAAAACTAAATAACGTAACAATAAAACAATTAACGACTTAAGTACTGATCTCTATCAATTCACTTACTTTGTTTGATTTTGGACGATATAACAAAGCGGGTATTGTGCATAAGGGATTTGAACTAACTTTGTCATTACTTTATATGTATTGTGAATTGATATAATCTTATTTACATATACTAAATGGTGTAAGTTTTTGTGATATCGAAGATGTTATTGATTGTTGAAGCAATCCACATGATGTAAAGTAACTATTTTTAAGTCTTACACTTTATCCATATTACCTATTAATAGTAAAATACTGCATGTAGTTTAATGCGAAATAAAATAGAGTTGCATTAAATTTTATCTTAGATGACTTTTGCGCAATTATGCATTATACTTTGGACATTATTTTATACAGTTACAAAATAGATTTTTCAAAGATTATGTTACTAAAAAGATGAAAGTAATTACCTAATGGAACCCTCAACAGGAATATTATTTAAGTATTATTTTATGCTTATATAGAAATATATATTCCTAGGTAAGGAAAAATGTTGGAGCATGTGATATCAGAACAGAAAAGAACATATAATTGATGATGGTTTCTTGGTTTGGTTAATACTTATGATATCCGAAAAAAGTATCTATGTGCAAATAGCTTATTTCTATAAAGATATATTTAACATTTGTCAATGTTTGATATAATTGTTTTTTTTTTCGTGTATCAGTGTGACAAGTCAACACTAAAAAGAAATAACAATCGACCTCTAAATCATGTCAATTATAAAATAATTATAATAAATTATTTGATTAATAAATAATTAATAATAATACTACTACTAATAATAATATTAAATAGAAATTACAAGTACTAACAGTATTATGTCTCCTAGTCTATACATGAACTTGCAATTAATGAAAATATGTTGTTGTTGTTATTATTGTATGATATTTTATAAAAGCCTGGGAGAAATATTGACATAATTTTCACATATAATAAACATTTTACATGACTGTACAGATATAACTTTTACATTATATAAACACTGTAACAATATGCTTTGTTTAAAGATCTATGTAGGAACGTAAGTATTTAAAGTAGCATTTGTGTAGCTAATAATATAAATGAAAGCACTTAAACAGCAAAAAGAACTATACATTCAAACACATTTAATAAATCGGACAAATATGCATGTATTTTCTGCCTTGTAACTAAAACGTTAAAGTTAACAACAAGGTAAGAAAATAACTTTTACCTTATGCGAATAAAGCCAACTAGTTATTCCTTGGTAAATATCAATATATTTGCACACCGCGAATGAATTCTAATCCATTCTATAAAATCCAATTACATGTAATCACCATCATTTCAATAACGACATGTTCTCTAGGACGATAAAAGTTGTTATAGCATTTTTACATCCATTCTACGGGGGCTTGCACGCGCTCTGAGATCGTACGTCAATAAAAGACTATTGATTTTACCGCTCTTCAGTACTAATGATCGATCTTTTCATTAAGACATTTACGGAGAAAGTAAATGTTTCTTTGTCGTGTTCGGCTTAATTTGGACACTGTCGTGAAGAAATAAGGGCCATACAGAGTGTTAAATTATTGATGTTTTATCGGATGCTGGGGGCGTTAGAGATGCTAATTTAATCCTTTAAAAGTAAAGGCGGAAATGTTTTTCAGATGTACTTATAATTTTAGTTTTTTTTATCTTTAAAGTGCAAATACATTTATGTTTATTTTACAGTTTAATGGAGAAGAAAAAATTCAACAAACTTAACCCCTGCGTAATACTTTGGATGAACTATTCAGTACTTAAGCTATAGTAAGAAATACCCAAAATAAATCACTGTATTTTTGCAGAAATAAATGTATATTTAAGGGTAGCTAACAGCTCTTTATCTTCCTTATTTCATATGTTTAATGGGGCATAAATGGATCGGACAGACTGTCAATTTGAATCTGCCATTTTGTTGTACATATATAATACTGAAGACCCACCCATTACATTACATATTAAAGATGACCTGCTGATCACAATATGAAAGTTAACCAAAAGATCCCCTTTTCATTATGCCTTAAATATTGGTCTTTACACAAAATGCTTAAGAATAGAACTATACAAATACACTTATGTACGTTAACTTAGTAACTAAAATAATTACTTGTGGTGTGGATTTCTAATAGAGTCATATCTATAATATACATTACATAATTACATATTATGTCAGTGTTATTTGTAATTATATAGCTATTTAGTTAAAGAGCATGGTTTCTATGGTCGCTGAAGGGTAATGAAACTGGATGATACATAAGCTCCTATTCAATTGATTTATCCCATCTCTAATATTGAACATCTCGTCAATCAAACTTATATTGATATAAAAATTTTACCCTGATAGTTTTAGAGCAACCATGTTTGCCAAAAGTCGTGCTGATTAATCAACGCAGTAAATATTGACAAACCGTGAGGAAAATATGGAGATTGGCGTTAATTGATAAAATTATCGATATACATCTTTATAAAGGGATATCATAAGTTCAGGAAATATTCTGATGATAAATTGGCCTTGTGAAGATCAATAAATGTATCTGGTAATAAGTTAACGTTTGTTAGCAATTCGTTTAACAATATCATATATAATATGCGTTTTTGTTATTATTCTGTGCTGTGAATGAAAATGAATGAAATTCAAACTAAAAAGATATGTGCTGATAGGGATGGTTAAGGGTAGCCTTGAACTTTCACTATTCCTTAATTTAGGGATTGACGGTTATTTCTTTTGCAGGAAATTAGAAATTATTCATAATATTAAAACATATTTGAAGCTATAGTATGTAATACGGAGAAAAAACATACATAAGCTAATATCATCATAACATCAAAAGTTTAACATTTTTACCACGCTATTACTGATATATATTGCTTGTAAGATATTTGTTTCCTGACAGAGAAAAAATAAGCTGTAGCTAGAAATAAATACACCACAAGATATCATTGATTTATTATGGTTGCCCTGTTGTTTAACAGAGTTTCAAAGTATACACAGCGATTTCACACCAACTACAAGATTAGTGTTGCCAGTCAATCGACCTAGGAATTTTTTTCAATTGATTTCAGCATAGAATGACTGTTTTCACTTTGTTCATGAGAATGAAATAAAATACTTCCCGCTATAGTCTCATACACACGTTATAACGTTATTTTTTAAACACTCAATTTTGTGCTGGATGTATAATAATAGAACGTATATATCAAACGTACCAAATGTTACTTTAAACATATTTATCATCAAATAAATATATCATAGTATAATAAAGTATCCACATTGATTTACATTACAGTCAGAATAACCAGTTAGGTGATAAGAACGAATAACAACTCTGATATAGCTCTTTTATATTTTATGGAATATTTGAGTACAATAAGTAAATAAATAAATCATTTCATTTACATTCATTGTTTTTCTCTTTTTTTTCTTTTTTTCTAATTCTTTGTCCGACTATAAGACGAGATAAATTACGGCTTTGTATTTTGCTACGAGCAGCGTTTGATTGGAAAATTGAGACCGAAGGTCGACTGAGATATCAATTTTCCAACGTGGCGAGTAGCAAAATAAAGAATGAAGCGTATTCGCGCTTTAAAATGTGCGTGTTTTTTAAGGAGAAAATTTATAGGTATATAATAAATTATAGACCGCTATATACAAGTATTAAGCTTGACCGATTAACATTTTCGAATTTTTATTCAAGCAATCACGTGAAAATATATATCATACAGAAAATAACTTCTTAATTCATGTCTGCTAGTTTTCACATGAAGAAAACTAAATCAGATATGAGAGCGTAATATAAATACTTCATCACTGGACATTTTGATTCTTTATTGGAGCGTCAACTGTTTTTTGCAGAGGTACCTCATACATATGATACCCAAAAAGAAGACAGTTAATTATTTTCATTACTCCTTTAGAAAAGCAAAAATTTCTCGAGGCAATATATACGTCATTATCTCGATATTCCATTAATGCAAATGAAATTAACTCTGAAAAAATTCTTTTATCATATATTCATTCAATATTACGACAAAACAACCAACATAGATAAATAAAACAATAAACTAAAATTGTAAACATAAATACTTCTCAAAGACTGACAAATTATCAGAAGCTATCAGGCTATGATATGATTTGTTTTGAAAATGAGTATAGATCTGTATTGAAATAGCACTGTAGCCAAGAAACATAATTTGAATTCCGAACATAATGTATCATTAAGATTGTTTAAAGTAAGATATAGTCTGGTACTTTTTTTTCCTTTTGTATAAATTTTTGTATTACCAGATTGTATAAATCTTGTTTTCTATTGTATAAATTACAAAAGTCAATTGTACTCTGTGTTGTTGGAGAAAGCGGTGAAAATGAGTTTTTTGACATCTAATCTGTCCCCACACTGCTCGGTCTATACAGTGTTTCATTCAGCGGCGTGAACTTTATTTTCAACTTTCACTTCGGAGGAGTCTTGCGAGAATTGTAACCTCTAAGTAATCCTGCAGGACGAGGTTTTACTCCCCAAAGGTATGTGGGTGATATTGATTGGTGCATATTGAGAGCTTTTAAGTGTTCAGTGCTACATTAATCATAACCAGTATAAAAATGGTCATTTGTTATCAATTTAAATATTGTTTTGTATGTTAACGTTTTAAATTTGAATAAGGTAATACATGCATTTTTTTTCATTGATTTATTATTTTCAGTATATTGCACATTTAAACCTAGTTTTGTAATGTATAAAAACATTCTCATGAGTTTCAAGTACATGTATTTATTTTTGTTAATGTATCGCTACAAAATTTACCACAATAAATAAAAAGGTTTGGCTAGCATTATAAAGTACACAAAAGTAGATGATTTACGAAAAAACATCAATACATGTCCCACTGGTGGGAGAATAATTATTCTTTCTCCTCATACATACTCTAGAGAATGTCTAAAATAAGACATATATGTATAAAATATCATATTAGCAAATTAGTTTATACCTTATATATGCCTCGCTGATCGAAATTTGAGATTAAGAGTGCTTTGGACTGATGAAGAAAAATTGTGTGTATTTTGTTTCCTTATAAAGTTTCACACGGGATGATTCACTTTGTGTGCATGAATGACTGATTGGTTGTGGATGGATGGGTGGCTGGCTGGCTGACTAGATGAATGGATGGATGAGGAGGAGGCAAAACGTGCATTTTCACTACTGAATCACATTTGTCACACAAGTGTGAAATATGTGTTACAATGTACTTAAATCAATTTGTTTTATGGGAATAAAAGACTGAATGCATGGTTTTAGTATATTGCCAGCTATAAAGATATTTCCTTTCACTCGACTGCCCGTCTGTCTGTCCGTCTTTTTATATCTTTGTCCGAGTTTTACGTACAACTTATTGTACAACATGATACCTCATCGACCATTAATAATATTTGTCTGTAACTGCACATAGTAAGAGGAGGTAATATTGCAAGGTCACATACTTTGACATGAATTTTGAGGGAATTATTGCCCTTTCTAACTTTCTTAGTTTAAGTCGTTCATGAAACATCAATCTTAAAGCTACATGATACATGTCCTCGTGATCACAATTCAAGGCCAATAAACGCTTAAAGCTAAACTGGAAAAAAATCTTGATTAAAGATTTACGGAGACGAATTTTCCGCGTACATACGGTCGAACGGACGAATGTACAACACCATTCCATACAACTCAAACAAATAGGCATAAAGGTATAATCTACGAAATTCGAATGATGTACAAGGCATTCATACAAGAACGTCTCTCTACTATAATACCTTTAGTCCTTCAACTCTTAAAAATGGAATGTACTACAAGCATATCTACACAAGGTTAAATGGTAAGTTATTTCATAAATTACCTTAATTATTTTGTATTAAATAAAGGGTTAAGTCAATGTCTTTGTGCGATACACATATGATTCTGATTAATATGTTACATGTAAGTAAATGATTATATGTTCATTTTTGCGACGGACGCGCCCTCAGGCGCGTTCAGAGCTAAGTCATCTACACATGGGATTTCGTTGGCTACAATCGCGCAATGTGTCCTAAACCAATTAACAGCCCAAGAAATAGTACATGAATTTGATCCTTCAAAACTCCCATACTTTGTCTGGATATCTTAATGTCTTCCATATTTAGCCTTTTCAATTTCAAATTAAGTTATCCAAGTTGAAATATGAACGTATATTATTGATAAAAGCGTTGTAGTCCCGTAGTATTATTGCGCAATATGCAAATTACTGCTGAAACGATTTACCGCTGTCGAAAAAGTAGGACAGCAAATTATACTACAATAAAGGTGTAACCTCTGAGTTCCAAGACATTATTAGTAGGAAATGAATATTTCTACATTATACAAAACATTATTATTAACAAATCAAAAGTTTTTCGTGACTCTAGGATAACTCGCGCATTAATAAAAGAAGAACTATTT